ATCATTTATACAAAAATAAATTAGTAAAGTTAATGATATAAAATGGCGAAATCACTACGCTAACAAAATTTTAAAGATGCATTAACCTACTAATCACACGATGAATGTTATGAACCTTGTTTTTTAAAATTATAAGCAGTATTAGGTCTTTCTTTAATACGCAAGTACTTAAGACTGTACATTCAGTCATCTTCAGGCATGGAAATTATTTTGTTTTTGGTAAAATTCAGGTAGCATCCGAGACGAAAAAATATAATGCGAATCGAAATATGTTTTTTTAAATGTGTTATTATTAACGGATACAAACATTTAAAGCGTGCAGACGCAATGCTCAGGTTGATTTTTTTAAAAATTTAAGTGAGTGCGTTATTTTATTAATATGGCAATTTGTAATTTTTTGTTGTATGAGTTTATTAGTCAATGTGGCATGAACTAAATAGTTCAATAAGTAGAGTAATGTCTCAGTTCTTATACCGAAAATTTGCACGTCGGAGCAGTTATTTTAAATCAAATATGTGGTGCAGTCCAATTTATATTACAATGAATCCTTCATACAAAAAAATAAATTAGTAAAATTATATATATATATATATATATATATATATATATATATATATATATATATATATATGGTGTAGTAGTGGATAGCGGTTCGGATTGACGAATCGGAGAACTGAGTCCGAATTCCAGTTGAATCCATTACATTCACTTACCTTGGGAAGGTATTAATCCTCTTCTTCTCCCTCCACTTAAATAAATAGCTGGATAAATAAGAGGACAGACTGGCCTTGGATGACAACTGATCTAGCAGAAGGACAATTCTAAATTCAAAACTTGCGGAGGTACACCAGGTCTCTGCACAAAGCCTTCACCGCTATAATCAAATCATATGTGCTGGTGTCTGGCTGTCGGTTCCTTGCTTGATTCTCATACGTCGAATACGACGAGAGAGTCCACCATATATAATAGTATAGTTATCGATATTTATTGTTTCAATTCAGGAAAAAGTAAGAAAGAAAAGAAGATAAGAAATATATAACGTCAAAAGAGAAACAAAACATTGTAAACTTATTGAACGTCGCAGACACAACTTTAGAAATTGTAATGCGGTTGGACAGAAATCAGAGAGAAAAAAAAAATAAAGGAATTGAAATGATGACTCAGAAAAGAACAGATCTTTAAGAATGTCACAAAAAATTTGATCTGAGAAAAAAAAAAAAAATGAAAAAGAAAACTGCAAATGTTGATAAGCAAGACAAGTGAAATAAGTTTGTGTTCTGATTTGAAACAGAGAGAAAAGATGCAAAATATGAAGAATAGCAGCTAAAAAAATATTAAAGCAAATGAACTAAAACTGTTTAAGTAAGCACTATAAAGAGAAAAGTTGGGGGAAGAAGTATAGGAAAACTGATTCCTCAATAGAAATTTTTATTGATGAATGGAGAACTATATTGGTTAAACTGAATGTCGGGCCAGATTCTCTTCACGGAGAAGAACATTATTCAGAAGACAACAGGAAGTATAATAATAAACCAACACAATTTAGAATACAACATTGGGGAGGTGGAATAATATATAGATATAGTATTGTAGGTAGTGAAATTATAGTTAATGATAGTATCACGTTAACTGCTGGGAATTATTGTATGTTCTTGGACAAGACCTTTTTAGTAATACAGGTCATACCTAAGAAGTTCTAAGCTGAAAAGTCTGTTCCTATAAGGGAATGTTTCCACACTTTTTGCAAGTCTGATTATTGCCCACTTATATATATATATATATATGAATATAGTTATGAATATGAATACATTTAAATATATATATATATATATATATATATATATATATATATATATATATATATATATATATATATATATATATATATATATATATATATATATATATATGAATATAGTTATGAATATGAATACATTTAAAAAAAATATATATATATATATATATATATATATATATATAAATAATATTTATATTATATAATATTAAATATATTTATATATATATATATATATATATATATATATAAATAATATTTATGTTGGTCACACCACAAACTCCTTTCACGACGCTTGACACTACATTTTAATGAAAACTCTAACATTTTTAGGCATTTAAAACAACATGCCTGCCCGCACACACAATTCCGTAAAATACTTGTCGAAAACACAACTATATTCGACATGAAAACAATAGACAAAAACTAAAAATACTTGAAGCATTATACATCAAACAGTTAAAACCCAACCTAAACAAAATCAACTATGGAATCTCTACAAATATTCTTAAATGTCTATAATTTCTATAATTGGTAACAGAAGCCATTGGTTTATACCAACGGCTTTCCTTATTTCATTCTACAATTCACTCTCGTGTAGTCATGTGTGACGTCATGAGATGCGGTGCGATTTTCGCTTCTAGCGTCTTATATGCGCGTGTTCATCGTTGCATAGTGATCCACTATGTAAACAAAACAATGACAGACTATCATCACTGTCGTGTCCGTATATTGTTTGATATGTTTGTAATTATATCTTTGATAATGGCTTGAGTAAGCCGAAAGCTTAGATTTTATTAAAAAATAATGGATAAATATTGTGAATTTCTTTAAAAGAGATGCGAATGGGTATGGAAAACAATATTCAAACAAAGAAGTTCTCTGGAGAAGAAAAAAATATGCTGTATATAACGTTAAAATTGAAACATTGAAAAAGATAATAAAATCAATGCTTGAAAAATTTAAGAAGGCTATAGAATGTATAGGGGTGTATGGTGTGTGCTGCCAGTGATAGTATCTTTGCAGCGAAGGTGCAAAGGTACGATCCTGCTTTACTAAGGTGAATTGGGATGCGGAGCTGCCGGCTAAACTGTGTAAGGGTAGTCGGAAGGGTTTCCCGACCCGACCGGTGAAGGGAACACCCTTTCCCAACCCACATGTGTCAAGTGGCCATCGATAAGTCGCCAGTTCCGACGTTGGAGCTGCGACTTAGAGGTCAACGACGGAGGAACTTAGAGGTCAACGACGGAGGAATGATGGGATAACCTCAACATCCCCGGTGCAAAAGGAGCCGGCAATTCATTGCACTATTTTGCCTTGAATGTCACCATGAACCATAATTACAACAGAGGAGAGTAATGAGAACAGCGGCGCAAAATGCGCTAATGGAATAAGTTATGATGCTAATGATGATGTTAGAAATGCTAATGTTAGAATGTCAAGGAGCCCATATTAGCATTCAAGGAAGGTTAGGTCACTATGTTGTGCCAGAAAATCTTTCTCGTCAGAATCCATCTTGCATATTTACAAATCTACCATCCGTCCGTGCATTGAATCTGGTCTTGTGTTTCTGCTGTATATCTTGGGATTCTTGACAAAATTCAAAGAAGGGTCTGTAATATAATCGATCCTGACCTGGTATCTCGGCTTTAGTCACTTTCTCATTGACGTGTCCTGGCTTCCCTGTCTATTCTACAAATATTTTCATGTCAACTGCTCTGACGAACATTTTTATCCTGGTGCCCCGGCTACATGAACTTAAGCGTGCTACTAGATTGGCAACTAGGTCCCACCATTTTATTGTTGAAATAACTAAATGCAACCGCTACTTCTACTCCAACAGTTTCTTTCCTTACACTTCTTACCTGTGGAACACACTTCCGTTTCCTTGCTTCACTAATAACTACAATCTACAAAAAATTTAAATGCAACGTCAATCATCTGCTGTGTTCTTGAAGCCTGTTCATCTTCTCTCCTTTTCTCAGTTTTCCCTATTATCAGTCTTCTCTTTCTCTTTCACTTTCACTCCCTGTAGTCCCCTACGTGCTAGTGGCATTACCGCCTTGCTTAGTGTGAAATGATTAAAAAAAAAAAAAAAAGAAGAAAAAGTAGGTAATTTATTCATCTATATGGGATATTGTGTTAATCAGATATATGCTTCTGTAGATGAAGTCTTTTGAATTTATTTATAAATAAACAATTATGTTGCATTTTGTATGCATAATAAAATATATAAAAAAAATTATTATCTTTATTTTTAATTAGCTCCCACGATATATTTATCATATAAATGAAATGTACCTTGGAAATATGACCAACATCTGTTGGTTAATTTAATTATGAAAAAAAAAAGTCTTATATAATAAGAATTCGACATTGTGTATGTATTGGTATTTACTAAGCCTAACTTAGCCTGGCATAAGGATAAAGTTGTGGGCTACCTAGTTGAGATCGAACTTTCTATAGCTCGCGAGATCAGATAGCTAACTGCCGTTTTATGGAAGGTATCGTGGGAGTAAAATCATGTATGTTGGTGCCTTTTCGGTGTGTTTTTGTATACTAATGTTTCCCCACCACATGACCCAAGACCCACTCAATTAAGAGGGTTAAAATGTGGTATTGTATGAGCGTAAAAAAGGCAAGAAGTTAAGTTCATTGGATTAGGCAAGAAATAACGGTTAATCCTAGACTTGAAGAGGTTAACATTGTAGTGATTGGGAAAACATCTTGCGAGGAGTCTGTTTCACAAAGCATCAGTTTTGGGAAGAAGCTGTCTAAGTGGAACTTATTAATGGAAGACGAATGAGGTGAGGATATTTCATCTTTGTGTACGTTGTATGGCGGGTTCTAGTTGTGAAGTTCAGGGTTGGTGGGACTAAGGAATGTAGCTCGTCAGAACACATGCCATGGAAATATCGATAGAACAACTATGCTCGCGACATTTCGCCCGTGGGAAAGGGGTTGCGTGCGCATTGGATCCTAATACGGTGACTATATATGTGTCAGATTAAGCTAAGCTTAGTATAGGACAAAAGAGAATAAAAGTATAAAAAAAAAAACAAAAAAAACAAACATTTTTAATCTTTTTTTTTTGATACTTTCATAACAGAAAAAAATCCCTCCTCAAAAAAACAAAAAAAAAAACAATAGCAGAATTTGGATAAGCAAAGGTTTTGTGTTTCAAATCAAATCACTCTTACCTTAGTTGTTTCTTTTTCTTCTTTTTCCCCCTCCAAATCTAATTCCAGTCCAATTAGAGAAATGGTAATCCCAGAAAATTATCTCCAGACAACAACAACGCTGAAATGTACCTATTTACTCTTCCTTCTCTCTCTCTTTTTTGTATGTACTTTCTCGCTTTTAAACGTTCGTCCAGGTTTTTTTTTCCTTCTGTCGTTCCTCTCTCCTGAATTCCTATCTCTTTCACCTTTCTTTTCTTTTTCTGTTGTTACTTCTTCCTCTATTTATTTCCTCATTTTACCTTTTACGCAGACAACTGCGTATTCTCCCTCTTTCTCTATTCCTTTTCCACCAAAGTATAATTATACAATTCTTTTATTTGTTGTGCACCATGTTTCTCTTTATTCGTCCTTCTTACTATTACACGCTTTTCTGTCTTTCTTTTTTTTTTGTATATTATTATCTTGTTGTGTCTTCTTTTATCCGTTCTGGTTCTTTTTCATTCTTTCTATTTTATTTTTTCTCACATACGTCTACTGAGTCTTTCTTTATTTCTGCCAGTGTGTTCGGTCGAGGTTGTATTTTTATTTTTATTTTCCCTTTTACACTTCTTTTATACCGTTTTTGTGACTATTCAATTTCTTTCTTTCTTTCTTTCTTTCTTTCTTTCTTTCTTTCTTTCTTCCACTAATCACATGACTCAATTATTTTTCTCTCATTCTCTATTACAAAATCTTAACACATCGTGATACACACTCAATATTTGACAACCGCTTTCTTTCTCAATCTCACACACATTCACTCTTTAATTCCCCATTCTCTCTCTCGTATGCACGTATATATACATAAACCTATGCACGCACATACACACACAAAACAGATTCCACATATACATATACATTTTTATTATAAGAATGTATATGAATATTAATATAAAATATATTTAAGATCTATATATAAGAATCTTATATATAGATCTTAGATATATTTTTTTTATATTATTGTATATACCGTATATACAATATATAAGGTTTTAATATGACGGTTAATATTTTCACAATTACTATTAAAAACTCATGTTGGTAAAAATTGAAAGATATATAAGTATATTCCACCACGAAAATAAAAACTTTAAAAAGAATTACGGCCCAAAATAAATAAAAAGTGATGGGAACAAAAAGAAAAAGTATCTAAATAAAATCGACTATTATTATTAAAAAAAATAATTTAAAATTCCCAGGACCCATCGTTCATGCGCATGTGTAGTCGCATAACAAATTTAGTCCGATCTGGGAAGTGTTCTGACAGAGGACAGTAAGTACGACGCTGAGATCCGAAGACGTATTGGGATGGCCAAAGACGCATTTCAGAAGCTAAGCAGAGTATTACGAGACAGGAGGATTTCGTTGGTAACAAAGAAAAGAGTACTGAACTGCTACGTGATATCTGTCCTCCTTTACAGCAACAAATGTTGGACGGTCTCCTCAAAGATGAAGAAGAGACTCGAGGCAACGGAGGTATGGTTCTACAGAAGAATGCTAAGGATACCATGGACCGAGCGTGTGAGCAACGATGAGGTTTTGGAGTGGATGCAAACAAGGAGGAAGCTTATGCTTAACATCAGAAAGAGGCAGCTGAAATTTCTAGGACAGGTAATGAGAAAGGAGGGCTTGAGAATCTGATACTCACAGGGCGGATAGAGGAGAAGAAAGACAAGGGAAAGCAACAAGTGACATAATGAGGTTTTGTAACTATTTACACATGTTGTCCTCATATTTTTGACATTCCGGCCGTTGTACGCTCCGGCTTTCTTCAGGTGATATACGTTGTAATTTCGAACCGAACTCTTTATAGTTCAACATGCTATGCATATGGTTAATTTAATTTAGTAACTCGACTCTCCAAGTGCTGTGGCCATGTATTGAACTCACAACTCTTTGGGTGAAGTTACTGGATTACTTCAACGTTTTTATCCACTAGGCCATATATACTTAGGGACACCAGTGAATGAATTTTAAAGATAAGGACAGCAGTCCTAACTATATATCTATCTATCTATCTATCTATCTATATATATATATATATATATATATATATATATATATATATATATATATAGTGCGATGGATAAATTGTAGTCTAAATTACGCAAAGATGAAATTAACACTAACATCTTATTTTAACAGATACCAAATTATTTGTCATCTCATTATTTAACAAATACCAAAATTACACAAAATTATCTTGAAATACTAATGAGTAAATTTATTTAATAAAATCAACCTTAGTTTCAACCACGGCCTACAGACGACTTCTGCAACTCTTCTGAACGGTCTCCTTGTTTAAGTTGGCGAATGCTGCTATAATCCTTGACTTCAGTTCATCTTTGGTGTTACGATGTGTTTTGTTGGTCTCTCGCTCAACTGCGCCCCACACATAGTAATCAAGGAAGTTTCTGTCTGGGGAGTTAGGTGGCCAGATGTCAGGAGTGATATGGTCGCAGAAATTGACTGATAGTCATGACTGGGTTCTGCTGCTTGTATGACATGGTGCAGAATCCTAATTTCATACATAGGGTCTTCTAGCAGCCACCCTCTTGACCCAGGACAGCACTACCTCCTCAAGACACTTGATGTAGGCCTCCAGAATTTGTTGGTGGGGGCCTCAAATTCTGGAGTTATTTTATCGTTAGAACGGTCAGAGTGAGTTGTCTGAGCTGCCGTACCTTCGTAATCACCATTAGACTCATCCAGCTCTTTCTAAATCCTGTGCACTGTCCTCAGAATGAGACCCAAACACTCTAAAATGTTCGGATTGATGCTTCCAGCGCAAATGCCAAGCAGTATAGCATGCCGTTTCCAAATTTCTGCCAGTGTTTCTGCCTCGTGGTGTTCTTTTTCTCGCAGACAGTGCCCAATTGACCCTACTATACCGTGCAGTCGACAAAATCAAAAACAAATAACGCGCGTGCGCGAGATTAAAAATGTAAAATGGCGACAATTTACCCATTGCACCCTGTGTATGTGTGTGTGTTTTTTTTTTACAGCAAAAAACCAAAATTACCTCAACATGAGGAAAGTCTATTTCAAGCTGGTCTGCACGCTGCTATCATCAGCTCATAAGTGTCTGTCTCGAAGCATTGTTTAAATTTATTTTCAATGTCAGTCCTCCTCTGGTAGACGCCTTGTTAATGAGAAGAGGCTTGTATTAGCGACTGGTGGAGGGCGTAAGGTATCTTATTTCGGAGAAGTGTACTGGGGTTGGAGTATATTTATGGCTAGAGCCTTTCCTTGTTTGTAGGTAAATATCAGTTCCTACTATGTGGCGTTTCTTATACGAGCCCCAAGTGTGTTTTCCTGGGATTCACAGTAAATAGTTTTTATACTACAAGGGACCAATATTATTAAAAATAATTAATGGGGAAATTAAACTTAAACCCGTTAAGATTAATGTAAATTAGTTGAGTGATAGATTTATAGATTGTGGATAATATCAGAGCAGCTAATGGAATAAATCGTGCTGTCCAACACCCTTATATGCGTACATATCTTCACACATGCATATATGTACATTTACATATACATACATATATGCCACTATATGCACGCATACACCCCCACATATATACACATGTATTTTTATGGAATTTTGAATCTGTTCCTATGTTTACATTTCGTGATTCGTTCTTTCCATTGATTTAATAGTTTGCATTGATCTTTATATTTTATTATCCTGATTTTTTTCTTCTTAACATAGCTTGCACCAATCCCTAAAACTATGGGGGTGGGTGTTCGCGAAACCTAAAATTTTACAATTTATTTGAGGATTCAGACCCTTTTCCTTCAATTCCCAAAATTTTTCGAAAGGGCTATTTGGTATTTTAATTTTAGATTGATGAATGAATGTCTCTGTGTATTGATTCTCTTTTTAAATTCTGTAGAAATACCGATATAAATATTATGGTTTGTCGTATTTTCTTTAGGAGTAATGGTTGCCTGGTATACTACCCTAGTGGATCTGCACTTGCCCTCTACTGAGTAGTTTTCTTTAATTCTACAGTTACAGGGGGCTTCCATGTTATATTTTTTCTCCATGGAATTTACTTAAAATATAATTGTCATGGGAATTAATAATGTGGTAGATATTATCAGTGCAGGAGTAGCTAATTTTGTTTGACTTCCTGTTGAATATCTTATTTAGATTTTTTTTTTATTGAAGTGTTTAGTAATTAAATTTAGGAAGTACTGTCCGATGTTGATACTTGACAGTTTGCAGAAGGTGGGGCTTAACCAAGTGATTTTTCTTTTCCTATTTTTACACCTACATCCCACTTTTCGTGTATCGGTATTCCTAATAGTGGTCTCGTAAGACAGCTTGATGGTTGGAGGATGTGTGTACGTAAGTTGGGATGTCATTATCTTTTTTGTACGGTTCGTATGTATTGTTGTTCAGGTTAAGAGTGACGTCTAGGAATTTTATTGTTGTTGTACCTGCATTTATTTCTATTTTGAATCCAATGGTTTTTAGGGCGTTTACTATTTTCTTCCTAAATTTGTCTAATTGGGGGGCCATTGTGTTCTCTCGTCACGACGACAATTTTTCCTCCCATTTCCATAAAAACTCCAATACACGCAACCCGAGATAAATACAAAATTAAAAAAAAATTAATCATTTTGTCTGAGGATCGCAAAAGCGTGAAACCCAGGGTCACAAAATCACATCAATTCAACTAAATAAGTTAGCTCTATCTCTGATATTGAGCGCTTTCCAATAAGTACCGCGCATACAATATATAAATAATATATATAATATATTACACACACACACACACACACATATATATATAGTACAACTTGTGTGGGTATATCAATCTGTCTTACTATTATAACATCTATATTAAATCCGAACCAATTAAAAATTTGCTCTTAAGCATTAATCTTACGTCATTTATAGAATTGTTGAAAAATATACTTTTTCTTAGATAAAATGAAGATAAATACTATTTGTACATAAGTAAATTTAATTCACGAAGAATGCCGCCGAAGTTTGAGCATATAAAGATAGTCATGAAATTTGGATGCCAAATAAGTTAATTATATATATATATATATATATATATATATATATATATATATATATATATATATATATCTACTGTTTTCGGTATTTAAACTATTCTCGAGCACTATTCAACGGGAACATATGACAGCTGTTTTTGTTATCCATACTGTGCTTTTGTGCGTTCCACTGTATTTCATTTTTATTTAAATGATAAATTATAGAAGCTAAAAACAAAGAAACTAAAGCTGACACGTGAATACACCCACATGAAAGAAAGCGAACGACATGAAAGAACGGCTTGCCGCAATGACTAATTCACAAATCATTAGACCTTGAAATAAATATATAGACAACGTGTTTAGCTAAGCCAGTGAAGAGGACACAACGGTGACACATCATAGGAGGTACTAATAAGAGACTGTGAGACTAACTTGCTTGTCCTCACTTTACAGCAGTCAATGCAAAGCCTTTATTAAATTTAAACACGAAGAGTTTCGAGTTATCAACTGGAGATCGAACCTGATATACATAAAAATAGGCAGAGAAACTCGCCATAATGCCTAGTCAGACGACTTCATCTATCTATCTATCTATCTATCTAGTATTATTTGGTAGCCATTATTTTCCTAA